CCACTTCTGTTTTCATCGATGGCCCAGCCCGCGAGGACAAACCGTCACAAAAACAACTCGTGAACTTTATTCTTCAGCTCCTGCTTCTGCAATCGCTTAGCTAAACCTTTATATACACTTCATGACAGGCACATGATAGTAACGCTCAGAGGCACTTAATCTAAACCTCACGCCTTACAGCTTTTCTTCTCACAATTAGCACTTAGCTTATAAAGAAAAACAGACATTGGGGGCCCAAACAAGAACAACCTAGAATTGCTTTCAGACTCACATATCCCGATACTCTTGTTCCAATAAACCTATTAGCACTGATTCACCAAAGATGTGATAATGTCCTGTGCGCAACACTGTCCAAGTACATGTGTTTTGTTAAGCTTAACATAAAAGGTAAGCAGACCAAGGAGACGGCAAAGCCTGTGAAAAGTTCTTGCCCTCTCTGCACTGGCCAGATCGCTGGCTCAGGGGCTTCACTTCAGGAGCTGGCAGGAACCTCTGAGCACAACTGGTGGATCCCAACAGGAAGGCCCTGGCCGTCCCATCAGCCATGGGACCTCCCTCAGGAAACTGGCCCCCGAATACAGAGCTCCGCCACTCTGTGTGCAATTTTTCCAGTGATTTCAGCTGAATTGCTCATTTAAAAAAATAAATGCATGGTGTTCCAGCTATTTTACTTCTTTTCCAAAGGACAAAACTGAATTGATCGTACAAATATCCTAGCAAAATAACAAAGAAGTCAAGTAGGATTTAAACATCTCCAGAAAAGAATGCACTTTCACAACATCTCCAAAACTTACTTAATAACAGAACACAAAGGAATAAAATAACGTGATTAAAACCAGAGATAACAACCAACACACATTTTATTGCTGTGTTTTCACTTCTTATTTCTTTTTAACAAGGATAAAAATTAACTTGTGCAACCTCAGCCAGGAAGTGACTGGATCTTTGAACTCTGCCATCTGGCTAGTGGAATCTGTATTTTTGCTGCCTCGGGTTACAGGTTAATCCTGCCAATTCTGATTATTTGTGGAGTTCGTTGAGCTCTCAGAAGCTTTTATAGTCTCTGTCACAGAGAAGATTGCTGCAGAGCAAAACAAATGCACAAAGCACTTGGGCCAGTGTGGTGAGGCCGTTGAGGAAGGAGAGAAGAAAAGGAAAAAAATAAAAAGAACAAGTCACTTCTGGCTAGTCTAAAATTACCCTTTTTATTACAAGAGAAGACGTTGCAACATGTGCTGGAGAATTTGCCTCACACTGCAAGTCAGCACAGACAGGAAGGCTGAGGGCTCCCCGCTCAGGGAGGAAATCGAGCTCGAGCATGCCCGGCAGACGGAGGCACCACGTGATGACAACAGAATCCAGACCCATCTGTGGATTTGTTCCTGGCCCCCCCGGGCACTTTTCCATCTAGTCTTGCAAGCAGCTGGATCAATTTACTCTAGCCTACGGTGCACTGCACAGGCACAGACTGAAATTATTACTCATGGAAATCCCCTCTGTTTCAGTCCTTTGAAAAAGGAATCAGGTAGCTTTCAAGCTCCTGACAATTAATAGCCTTTGGTGGAGGGAGAACAGTGCAAACATGCTGGAAGCTATGGGTTTCAAAACAGCTTGCTTAGTTTCTAGTAAATTAAAGGGAGTGGGTGGTTGAGATACACAGTAATATCATCCAGTAGAGTGTGGTCTTTATTGACGTCAGCAGGACATTTCTTTCTCTCTTCTGTCTGTCTGTCTCTGAAAGAAGCACATGGAGGTTAACTCTGTGACGGAGCTATGTCTCAGAGTTTAGAAAACCTCCAGCTTTCCATCAGCAAAGCCAGAGCATAGACTCTGCCACACTGTAAATCAGCAGTACAAAAATATATGCGAGTCACTTCACAGGAGGAAAAAATCTGTTGGAAACAGAAATCATGAGGACTTACTGTACATGTTTCTCTTCATGCTGCATGATTAACAGCTCTGACTAATACAACACTCTTTGGTGGCTACGAACACATCCTCATCTCAGATTTTGCTTGAAATAGCATATTTGACCATGACGTCTCTCCACAACTACCATGTCCATCCCAGCATAACCCTGTGGTGTCTGAGACTGTTTTCTCACTTTCGTAGACTCCGTTATTTTCTCTGAGGCCTCCAAACTGTAGGCTGAATTCATTTTACCATAGCTCTACATAGAAAATAAACCAGGAAATACAGCAGAAAATTTTGTTATGCTTTCAGCAGGCATTTCAAAATGTGATCTCTCAGTATGGACATGTGCAGGTGTGCACCTGCAGCTTTTTCATGTGCTGTTATCTGTGTACTAAATAAAAACCAGTTGGACAGCAAATAGAACGATGCACAATACCAAACAAAAGTGTTGCAGGTAGGAAAATGGACCCATTCCAGGTCCAAAGATATCACATTCCAAGCAAAACACAACCTTACAGTGTCTACAATTTCTACAAAAAAAATATATATATATAAACATATATGTGTGTGTGTGTGTATATAAAACAGAGAGAATATTGGGACCAAAGTTGTTTTTAGAGTTGTACAAGACAAAGTAGACTTTTTTATAACAAAAATGTGTGTTGAAGCTACCATGCTGGTTTCTGACTCAACAGAGACACATGCATACTTCTCAAAGTAGAAGATTTTTCCACTAAACTGGTGGACTGAATGAGCTCATTTTGACCCACTGAGCAAGTTTTCTTAGTACTCATTCTGAGCAAGAGCACAGCCTCAACCAGTGTTTGCACACACTTGACTTTTTCCCTCATTCCAAATCTTTGTTGCTTTCCTACCCTTTACGCTAGGCTTTTCTTAGTAAAAGCATTTTTTCCCCTCATTGTGGCCACAGGACTTGAGTAAATACCTTTGAACTATAAAAAATGAGATGTGTTAATGAAATGATACTGCAGGCCTTGCCAAGTCCCAGGATTACTAAGACAAGCAATGGAAAAGAGGAATGTCCAAGGAAAACTGAGATACCTGGTCATTTCACAAAACACCACAAAGACAGACAGATCAACATATAGAAGAATGAGGGAAATGTGTGATAGTGGAAATGCCTGACTAACTACAAGTAAACTGTAGGATCTCTGACTCTGCCACATTTCCCCTTTCTTTCATATGCTCATCCACTAATTTGCTTATGGGCATCTATGCAACTCAGTGGCACTCTGCCTTCTGTTTAGATGGACATTTTCTGTTACTTTTTAAAATTATACTGTGAAACTGAAATTTCATGGTATGGATGCTGCTATAAAGGTTGAACAAAGGTATATTTGGGAGGAGTTGCCATGATTCCCTTTAGGCCACTGTTACTGACTGGGCTTTGCTGTAAACTCTGCACCTCCTCCTGCTCCCACCTTTGGGGAACTAGTCACATGTCTTCATAGATCAATGTTGCACAATATTACTCTTTTCTGCAAAGGTCCCATTTCTGCTGAGATCCTTTTGACAACATTGTCTTTCAGTGTTCACTCGCAGGTTTTAAGAGATTTTTAGGGGGAAAAATGTAGGGAATTGAGATCTAGCCATAGTTATGAATCAGCAGTGCCAGCCTGTTAATAGGAAAAAAAAAGGAGCATTTGATGAATATACTACTCTTCTAAGCAATACTTTCATTTAAATGAAAATGCTTCAGTTTTCTTGTAAAATAGACAAGGCCTAGACTAGAGCCTACTTTCTTCTACTATCTCTGCAAAGTGTGTGAGAGCCCTGTCTATACTTTTTGAGGTATTCTAATTTAAGATCTTTTTCAAAACTCAGCTGTGGCTGTAACGCTCTGCGATGTGACTTGCCCTGCACAGTAGAGAGGTTGAAAGGAAATCCACAGGGCTTCTCCAGTTCTCTTTTACAGCTATGTTTGGAAATACGGTCAAGTGCTGGCCGCGCTCTGTAAAGGTCTCTTCAGACAGCATTTGGCCACCACACTATGTGAAAGCAGAGCTGAAGCCCAGGCTTTAAGTTCCAAGTAAGGTGGGCCTAAAAATGAGAAAAAATAGCCCGGGTTCCAGTTTGGTGTAAAGTTGCCAACATTCGGTGGTTTTGTGACATAAATTCAGATGAAAGCTGCCAACTCATTTTGCGCTGGCCACCAAACAGCCACCAGCTGGTCACAGGTCTGAGTCGCCAGCAGTCTGGGCAAGACTGGACTGCGTACCTGCTGGCTAGGACCCACACCATGGGCAGGAACAAGAGCAATGGCTCCTTCACCACCTGGCTAAATGAGGGTGAAAATGTTATGCACTTGAAAATGTTTTTGTGTGTGTGTGTGTGTGCGTGATATTGCCCCAACTACAGTGAGATGTGAATAGAATGGCGGAGGGCTACATACCACAATGTGTAATCAAGATGTCTCTTTACAGAGACGTCACTGAATTATTATTATTGTTGCTCTGCTTCTTTACAGAGCATTCAAAGAGCTTTCCAAGATGGTATTTTTGCGACCAAGTAAAGGTCAGAGTTCCTGCTTTGATAAATCAGAGCTGGTTAGAGGGAAGGTTCAGCTGACAGAGTCATCTGATCCGTGCAGCTGTGCACAAACCCTGAATTAGTTCCCCTCTTGTACCTCTTTCAGCCTAGGCACGAAGCTCAGACATCTGTTAGTTCCTGAATTACAGAGTGCACGCAATAACGGACCTACCCTGCCCCAGTGTGCTTGTGTTTTTTTTTGTTTTCCAAGTTTTGCATTGACTACACACCAACTGGACCACAACTTCCGGTCACTGAGTCTTCTATATTGCAGCTGTGTTTGCTGCTAAAATGAATGGTGACTTCATAAATATCTGACTTCCCTGCCAAAAAAAATTAAAAATAGAGAAAAAATATGCATTTTCATCTTTTCTGTCTTGTCACATCCTTCCCTTGAAGGATTTTGCATAGTTCTGATAAGCAACACCATAACTGCCACAAGCACAGCATGCACGAACAGCAACGCTGGGCACTGGACAGCCCTCCAAGCTGTACTGCAAACTCGGGCCTCTCCACGCTGTGTGAGCTGCGTGCAGGCTGAGGCTAAATAGCAACCCAAAAACTGCACAGGGGTCCACAGGATGGCACAAAACTTTGTTCTGCCAATTGAATGCTCAGGTGATACATAGGGAGAGACAAAAGCAAACACTCTGGGCTACCACTCTGCTCACTGCTGGTAGAAATGCTCTGGGATCTTTAACAACCTTGAGAAGAAAGATCACATCGACCAGGCAGAACCTGTGGTTTGAGCAGCTTTGTGGAGCCCGATTTAAATTCTGACTCAGCAGGAGAAGATGCAGCCCTGTGGTACCAGCACCGCGTCCTGGAGCACCTCTGGGCATCATGTAGAGCAAGGACATAAATAGCAGTGAGGTGTGAGTTTTCACTTGCACTGCAACGTCAGTTTGAATCCTGCTACACTTCCCCTGGCTCCATAGTGCCGTTTGCACTTCCCCGTAAGAAAGCTGCTGCCCTTCGCAGAGGCTCTGAATCATCGTGCACAACGGCCCCCTGCACAGGAAACCGCAGGGTGCCCGATCTCGAGCGAGCCGCGGCACCACGGCCTTGCTCGAGCTCCAGGTGGTAACGCGCGGCCTGGGGCAGCCAGGAGCCGGGGGCAGCCGGGAGCCCCGGGCAGGAGCGCAGCGAGCCGGGCGCCCTGGCCTCCCTGCTGCTCCCCCAGGAATGAGCCCCGTAATCCCCTGCGCCGCGGTCTCTCGCAGGCAGCACTGAGCTCTGCCACTCTGACCTTTTCACAGAGATGTGCCTGGACGTTGCGGCTCTCCCCTCTTTATAGCTCGGCCTCAAGAGAGAGCCGGCCTGACCGGCTCATCGAAATAGACTCCACGTTAAAGGTCAGGGAGGCACAGTGTGCCACTGTCTTTCAGAGGGCTGCCAGGCATGAGAACTCGGCTATCGTCTTCCCATGACAATGGCCGCAATTACGACTTGAAAATGGTACAAATGTAATCCTATTAACGTAACAATTTTGAGATTGTAATGCTGTGGTCCCAGATGCTGCTCTGAAAGGCGCACTGAATGCGCTGTGCAGTCTCCTCTCCACAGCACACTAAGGAGGATCTATGAGAAGCCGCCTTTTAAGGCTGGCTGCCTCTCAAAGCTAATTAATCCTGCATTCATAGGGCCAAACTCTTATGTTCCTGGTAAGCCAGTTGGGTCTGGTGGAAAGAAAGAGTGAAAAATCCTAGAGTCTCAGAAGTCATCAAGACACAGCAAAAAAACAAGAACTTTAGGCACGTGAGCAGCTCTCCCAGCCATACACAAATTACTTCCGTATTTTACAAGTTTTGAAAAGCATGCATATAAGCTTTGCAAAGCAGCAAATCTGGCCCTGAAGTCGTGTGAAACCCAAGATCAAATACTGTTGATTATCTGAGCATAGGTGACATCATTCTCCAAAAGCTGTCTTTACTAGTGTTAACCAAAAGATAAGTATTTTTAATGTTTAACAACAGAAGCCCTGAAAACCTGCTCTACGTGTAGAATGTGAAATGGAGATTTGCATTGTATTCACAGTATAAGTGAGAAGCAATACACCCTCTGTTTTCTGTACTTAAGGGTTAGAATAAACCTGTCTGAACCACTGACAAAAACTCCGAAGCGTGTGATTTATTAGCTTTCAGGGGGAAAAAAAAAAATCAATTCCTTGGCCTCTGTGCCTTTGCTCCCTCCACCAGATCAACTCCTTCCTCAAACCAAGGCGTCTTGTATCCTGTCTGGAAACTGCAGACATGGGATTGATACAAGGTTGGAGGTTCCTCACTGTTGCCTAGGAATTTCTGCAATTTCTCATCTCCATCACATCTCCATGGTGTACAGAAATATTATGATTCTTCATTTACAGCAGAGGAATTAAGACAAAGACCCTAAAAGGTCTCTAAGGGACAAGTGCGGTAGCTCCCGTCCAGTTTGTTCCAAAGAGCGTTGCCAGCCTGAACTGAGCTGACAGCATGGAGGGACCCAGCCTCGTCCTCCTGCCCTGGGCACAGAACGGGGTGGAAGTGGCAAGTGGCCGGCAGAGCCCTGGGCACCACTGGTGACCAGCTGCTCTTCAGCTTTTAGGGCAAGCCCAGCTGGACCCGAGCTCCCCGCCACACAACATAAGCACAGGCACAAGGAGAGAAAGGAGCGGGAATGTGGATATACCAGATTCCTCCACAAGCATCACAGGCAGAACAGAGTGTTTGGCTGGTGGCAGAGGCCAGGTAACGCCTGGGTAATATGTGGTGCCTTGCAGTAAGACTGACCATCCTCCCTCCTCCTCTGCTGCGATGAACAGCCCTGGATGTCACGGATGGAGGCAGACAACAGCACAGCGTGTTCAAGACAATGCGCTTGCCAATGCTGCAGAGGATATAAATGCAGAGGGACAGTCCCTGCCTGCGAACCAATAAACAGGACAGGGCTTTTCCCTATCCGCCCCTCACCCCCTCCATTCCCAGCCCACACGTCATTCCTGCAGGCCTCAGCCCAGCAGGAGGAAGGCGAGCCTCAAGCTGTAGCACTCCCTGCACAATAACGTGATTAATTCACTTCCTTCATCTGCTTTAGATATGATGAGAGAGCAGAGAGCACACAGTGTAGCGCAGGGCTAACGTCACCTTCCTGCAAGACACAGCTCGTGTGGCAGGGAGATGCACTTGAGCCCTGTCCTCCGCAAGGAGCAGCTACCGTGCACCCTGAGCAGTTCTAGAAACGAGTTGCTCTAAGAAGGATATGAAACCTTGTCATTTGGAAGGCTGGAGGTGATGGCAGGGGGTTCTGGTGTGATTGCACTGGGCACCCGATGCACTGCTGCAGGCCTGTGCGGATGAGGCTCAGGCACCTCCTCGTAGCGGTGCCTTGTGGTTTGCTGCAAGGAGGTGCCACTGTCCTGCTCTAAAGCACTGCTGTAGCTGCAGAAACGTATTCCCCGTGGCTAGATAGCTGCAACAAAATCACTCAAGTGAGGCTCAGATAAAAACAACCAAAGTGTTAATTTACAGCACCCAAAATAGATCGCAGTTACAGAAGTTTATAAAGTGTTCCCATAGAGAGCATTATACACACTGGCACGTGAAGGACCACACTGTTAGACACGAAAGGGTTTTCTTTTTCTACTGCACAACCCTCTCTATCTGCTTAAACCTGGCATCTGCTTAGTGACCCCCAGGAATTCTTGAATAGGGCAGTTGCAAAGAAATCCACGTTGGACTAAAATAGTGGAGGAACTATTGGTCAGGCAAGGGGTAGCTATATTATAAATATTTAAGAAAATGCATCACAGCAATGGAATGAAGAGAAAAAGGGCTAGTGCTTGTTCTTAGAGATCTGCAGAACTTAACTAGTCATATCTTTGACTTTATAGGAAAAAAGGAAAGACAGGAAGATGATGGCAAGCACTTGTGGCAAGACATATGGTGTAAAATAAGGAAGATGCCAGGCAGTACTTGTTTTGAGTTTCATGAGTAAAGCAGGGCCATTTCCAACAGCCAGATGCCCATTAAATGTTATTTTTGGACACCACTTCAGAACTGACTTGGAGGGAAGTGTGACATTTCTGAGTCACCTCTACCACTTCCTGCAACACCTGGGGCTTACTTTAAAGGCTCTCATTTAGATACTGAGAATTTGCTTGCTGTTCAGCATGAAAATAACACAATTTACTTTCGTTTTTTTTTTTCTCTAAAGCTCTGCTGAAAGTATGATCTGTGATGCAACAGCCTCCTGTGCAGATACAGGCCCCATATGCAGTTCATACGGCATGATGAAAGAGCAATTTAAAAGTAATCAGTCATCTGTTACTTCTCCCAGGAGGTAATCAGCAACATGTAACTGCTTTCTGCTTGGATCCAGTAATCAGTGATAAGACAATTTCTTTTTCAAAGACGCCTAAACAGCCCATCCTGTATCCTGAACACTGATCAAGCATTTCACTGTTTCCTCTGACTGCACAGTAAGCTGTGGCCTCCTCAACCTCAAACACATGCAGCGGCGTTTGAGGCATAAACTGAAATTATTTTGAAGGAAAGCTCCGAGGCTCTGCCTTGGTGGAGGATCCACTGATCTCATTTGCGTCTGTAGTGTCTTGACCTGCTCATGTCAGATCACTTCAGGAAGACAGAATGCACGGCCCTGAAATGCAAACAAATCACATGAAAACAATTCCAGAGAAAAGCTAATTCTATTAAAAAAAAGAAGTTTCTTCAGTTTCATATTCAGTTTATTTTTACAAATTTCCTCTATTTAAAAATATTTAAATATTCCCCTTGCTGGAGATGTAAAACTCTGATGAATTCATATTCTATGAAACCACTCAGTCTCTAAACTCTGTTTTGATAGTTAGTGCATTAAAAAGGCAAGGGCAGATTTTCTGCCTTGGTATTACAGAAATTGCACAACATTTCATATCCTATCCAAAAACATTTGCAATGTTTCAAAAGAGAAAGCTGGATAAGGAACATTTTGGTGCTATGAAGAGATAATTTTTTATTAAAAGCAGTTAACGCTTGCAAAGGATCAACCCAAATGTCTCCATAAGCAGGGCATCTATTAAAACAGCTACTTGGACAGGATATGACAGGGGAATGTTTAGTCTGTTTCCAAAAAAAAAAAAAAGCAAAAATGAGCAAAGAGAGTCATATCCTAACTTTTGGTGAATGGCTGAGAGCTTTTCGTATCATGTAGAAATGCCAAAGGTGAAAGAGCAACAGGCGTTTTTTTTTTCTGCTAGAAATATCTCTCGGTGAACCACTGCAGCCCGTGCTGGAGGTAGATGAGGACGCAGTCTGGGCTGCAGAGCCCTTGGCCGAGCGGCGTCTCTGCAGCCAGATCAGCGCTTGGTCGGGCCAAGCCGGCGTCCCAGGCCCCGGCCAGCCGGCCGCGTCCATGCCCGCTCCACGTCAGTCCCGGCTCGGCTCCGAGGCCGGCCCAGACACGCTGCAGGGCCCTGCACCGGCAGCGCGGTGGGGATAGCAGAAACTCCAGCTGAGACAGGGATGGACAGCTGTGAGGAGGAAAGGAACTGGCTCTTAAACCTGCTGTTAGCTGTAAATAATTGTATGGTGTGTTGAAGAGCAAAGTCAAGAGTGGCAACCAG